TCAGATAGCGAACTACAACGTAGTATAGCGACATTTTTATGTAACTTCCCTATTTTCTCACACTGTGCTCATTTCCACGAAAATCCGTGCTTACACTGACCAACATTTTTTTCTTCCATGGCCAGATCCCGGGTCCAATTTTTATCCGCCATGGATAAAAAATACATAAATATGTCGCTCAGATGGTGAACTATACCGTAGTATAGCGACATTTTCATGTAACTTTCCTATTTTTTCACACTGCGCTATCACCCATCAAAATCCGTGCTCTCACCGACCTTAGTTCTCTGGCGTTGCCGATAGGCGGCGCTGGCGTCGCGTCCCGCGCTATGGCCGCGCCTGGCGCATAACGAATGTTTCTCATTAAATCCATGTAAGACTCCTAACAAAAACGTATTGCAGAGAAAGTAATTTTCACGCTTTGACTGGGGGGGGGGCAAATGTTGGCTACTGGGGGGGGGCAATCCGCTCGACTGGGGAGGCAATTGCTCCCCCCCCCCCCCCCCCCAGTTAACATGTTAACCCGCGCGGGGCTGGGGGGGTAAATTTTACCCCCCCTCGCGAATCTTTGCGATATCTCAAAAACGGCGGCGCGCAGCGCCGCCAAACTTTTAGTACCTTTTCTTACATCAATTTGACACGTTCCCTGAAAATTTGAGCGAAATCCGTCGGAAAATTTTTGAGAAATTGACGTTTTAGTGACGTCATGTTCGCCATTTTCGCCTCAAAAACGGCAAAAGTTCAAACGCCGCTAACATCTTCATTTTTAAAGGAATCAAGACGTAACAAAAAAGGTTATACGTAATTTTACTTTGTCTATCAAATGGCTATCTCGGTTTTTTGAAAATTTTGGATTTTGGCATAAATTTTTTCAAAAAACTGACTTTTTTGGGAAAATCATTATAAAATCCAAAATTTTGAGTCTTTCGAAAAAAACGGAATATATGTCAGAGAAGGGGTCTATGTGCACCTACATACCAAATTTTAGAAGAATCGGTTCAAAAATGTGGGAGTTATTCAAAATTTTATGACGTCACGACACACAAAATTTTTGAAAAATGACTTTTTTGGAAGTTCTAGACCTCGTACGGAAACAAAAATAGCACCATTCGATTCGCCGTGAAAAACTGCATCAGATAGACACCTTTTTAGGCCTTAACAACCAACTTCAAAATTTGACCTCACTTGACCTGACCTTGACCTGACCTCGACCTGAAATTCATCCAGAGGTGGTCCATATCACTTATTGAGTGTGCCTATTGAATTCTATGAGTAAAATGACCCATAAAACATGTGTCGCACATGCCCTTTTCTATATTTTGTTTTTTGGTGACCTGACCTGACCTGACCTGACCTTGACCTTGACCTCTGAATGATATTGTATGCAACGAATGTTGTCTTGGTAGCCTAAGAACACGTTTTGGGCGATCAGTCTCAGTCCATGACTCCATTCTTCGGCAACTACGGTGCAAGGCCGATACCGTAGAAACTTGCAATTTGTACCCTTGACCTGACCTTGACCTTGACCTCAAACTTTAAATTAAGTACATGTTTTTAGTAGTTCGTGATGAGAGCTTTCGATTGGCGTTTGAATTTTCCAAATCGGACCATTAGTTCGGGAGATAACAGGGGGGGGGGGGTAAAATTTACCCCCCCCCCCCAGCCCCGCGCGTTCGGCTGGAGACCCCAGCCCCGCGCGGGTTAAGGCTGAAACAGACTCTTTCCGCGCTCAGGAAATCGCATGCGAGAGCCTATTCAAATACATTGCAATTCTTCTCGCATCAATCGCTTGCGGAAGGTGCGTGCGATTGATGCGAGCGTGCTCCATGTATTTGAATAAGCTCTCGCATGCGATTTTCTGATTGCGGAAAGAGTCTGTTTCAGGCTTTAGACGAGGTCCTGGGTCGTGACCGGTAAAAGGAGGTACGACGTAAAAAAGGTCTGGTGCTATACGGCAGCTGAGTTGGTTCACAGCTAAACAGCTGGCATCGTACCACGCAGTATATGCCGTCGGCGTCGAGCGTGTGATTGTGTCCGGTCAGCCTGAGTACAGACCATTGGACCCCGAGCCTGCCAGCGGCACAAGCACGAAACGAGACGAGCCGATTCGTTTGCCCTCCCCGCTATTCGCAAAATCTGGAAGACGCCGTCTTTGTTAACGAGCTGTGTCGCTGATGAATGAATGGCATGCGCATTGAGCCCGGCATGCCGGCATTAACCCGCGCCCCAGTGGCGGTCTCAGCCAACTTCGCCCTAGTGAGGGGGGGCATATGTTACCACCCACCTCTAACTCAAAAACTAAGAGGGCTAGAAAGACGCGGTAAAAAGCAGTCGATAGCTCTCAATGCGTACGTTTGAAAGTATTTCGGTCATTTTTCACCTTAGAGCAATATTGGGGTCACCAGAGGTCATCAAAGGTCAAAATTTGCCAATTGTCATTATATTTTTCAGAAAACATGCCGCTATCTCAGGAACTATGGTAGCTAGAATAACGCAGGGAAAAGCAATCGATAGCTTTTGAACTCTTCTTTTGAAAAGGTCATTATCAATATTGACCTCAGGTCAACGGTTTGGCCTCCAGAGGGCAAAAAGTCCAAAAATAGCTGTTTTTACGAAAAGTGTTTTTCGACAATAACTTTCGACTACAAAAAGTCACGACATTTCTATTGCCAGAATCGTGTTCCTCTCGCCGAGACGCGTCGAATGAACTATAATTTGACCTTCAAAGGTCAAGTTGAAAATTTGACCTCAGGTCAAGGTCATGACCTTACCGGAAAAGGTCATGTTGCATATCAGTCGATGCGTCTCAACAAGGCAAACACAATGAGACCATCCCCAGCGTTCTATCTATCTCTTTCCAATCGCGAGTTATTGGCAAAAAACTGTTTGTAGCCTCAAGTGACCTCGGATGACCTGTCTAGAGGCTATCAGCAAAAATGACACCTTGGTCATCACGAGTGGACTAAATCATTGTGATTCTGAAATATTTGGACTGTTCCGATGCGTACACACGGATCTAGAGGCATTTTCATTTTTCTCCATTGACTTGTAATGGAAAGGTTTCGCCACTGACCTGACCTTAGGTCACGGATATAAAAAATCCGGGATATACAAATTGTAGGCGCCCATAACAGCATGCAATCCACCAAGTTTGAAACCTTTCTGACAAACACTGCAAGCTGGACATGATTGCAAACTTTTTTTTAGGCTTGGTCAGTTAACTTGACCTGGTGACCTGACCTGACATGACCTGGGGTCAAAAATTTCATACATTGTCCAAAATTGATGTACCAAAAGCTACCCCAAGCGGCACGGCGCTACGCGCCGCGGTTTTTTATTCACACGCAAAAAACGCGACAGGGTGGTAACATATGCCCCCCCCCCCCCCCCACTGGGGCGAAGGTAAAACCACTTGGAGTGATCGTGGTTGAATGTACAGTATTGACTTGGCTATCGCAGACAGTTTTGCAATATGCAATGGTCACTTTAATTTAAATAAATCAGGCAATGGGGAATGTAAGCATCCGCTTGCATTGCGAGGGAAACGGGGACGACATCCGACAAAAAAAAAAAAAAAACGAGGGAGGGTTCTCTGTTGTGGGGGAAGACATCCCCTGCCATTGGGCGTAGTACTCGCAAGTTGCGGTCAAGTTGCGGTCCTTCCACTGCACGTGATGCGGCGCAGCGTAGTCTTGCTAGAACTGATATAATCCATGGTGTGTCAAAAGTGGAAATAGCCGGTGCGCCGTCTGGCAACCCGGCAGCCCGCCGCCATAGGGAAATTCATGCTTTTTGTCGCTTTTTCGCTCCTTATGAGTCACTTGATCTAATTAGAGCTTAACTAGGAACGAGGCGGGTCACTTACACGTATTCGGGAGCCGAATACGGTGTTTTGGAGCCAATACCTGGGAAACCCTACCCGCCCAATGCGAGTTTTTAAGAGTCTGCATGCCCAAATTAACGTTGAGCGCGGCTGTTTTCGGTCGGTTTTCCGCGACCTTGTGGCGAAATCGCCTTATTTATTCAACCAGGGTGGGCTAATTCGCTTAACTAGGAATGAGGCGTTGAAGAGAATTATTCAAGGAATAGAGCTATGCAAAAATATTTTTTGTATTGTTAAAACTGTATCCGCCCTCGAACGATAAATATTGTTGACCCATCAGAAACACATCCCCTGGAATGTGTTTGGACTTGGCTGGATCTAATATTAGCGAGTATCTGCTAATGCAGTTTCATGGCTTACACAGTACGCACACAAGCATACATACTTCCTGCCCTTGGTTATTCCTCACTTGAATGAAAATTTTGCTATAATAACTATTCCAAGCAGTTAACAGGTTTTAGTGCAGTGCCAAGTCGGAACCGTTCAGCGCCGCCAGTCTCCCAGGCGGCGCGTAACGGCCGCCGCCGGCCGCCGCGCCGCCGCTCTGGCAGGGTGTTTGACTTCACATCTCTGTTGCTAGAAAAGTTGTGGACCGATTTACTTGATTCTTGCATGAAAGATCCGCCATTCAATTCTGAGCAAATAACAAAAATTTGACGTCAATTGCACGATCCGCTGCCCATATTGTGGTACTGCCATCTATTGACAAGGCTGGCGAACTAAAGCCGGGCGGCTATTTCCACTTTTGACACACCATGCCTACCGCTAAACCCTTTCCTAAAGGTTCTAGACCTGGTCTTTCAGGGTGAATAATCAAGCAAAATGCGGCGGACGTGCGACATCGTGCCCCCACTTTTCGAGTCGAGCGCGTAATATAGGGAGAAGGTAAACATATGTAATATGCATAAAAGTGTACTACATTGCCGTGTTTTGAGATAACGCTGTTACATCAATGCAAAAAATGGCATGCCTGTGTCAGCTTGCCACGAAACAGATTAAACTTTTGATGGATAATTTTGTATGGCGCACCCTGTATTTGCCATTTATCTACCAAAGTGGGCCAGCCAGTCGGCGCCGCTTGAGCTGATAGGGGTCGGTTGACGTCGTCCCAGAGTTGGCATTTGTGACGTCACAGACAACGGGCTGGCGTGCAGCAGGCCAGCATCAGTTTCAAAGGTTACGGGAGATTGGCCAGAAGGCGGACAAACTGTGCAGGGAAGTCCTGCACTGCTGACCTGCAGTCTGAGCCAGCCGGTCACTCACTTCGGTCCGGTAAGACATGCTTTTTGTTCTTATACAACGAGGGCTTGATAGCTGTTATTGGCAGGGGGTTGTTTTTATCCACTTTTCACTCCTCAGGTTTTTCGGCAATATCTCCTAAATCGCTGGAGCTAGGATACTGATAGTTTCTTATTTTTCATAAAACTAAATTGGGCACATTCCCAGAAACTTTCGAGCTCATAACCTTAGCAGGGGTAGTTCCAGGACATCGGAAATCGTGAGGTCCTTTTCGTGAAGAGAGTCATTTGGGTGAATATCACGATGCTGATGCATTATAACTGAATACACCAGTTTTGCAAACAGCGGACTGAAAGGTATCATATAATAGCATATACGAGTACACAGTGATTGTGCATCTTTTTTAATTTTTTTTTTTTTATGATAGGCGGTGCCAGGCGTCTACAAAGGGGAGCTTAATATTAACCCTTCGCCCTGGCAGGGCATTATTCATAACACGGCCTGGCAGGGGGAGGGGTCGATGCGACCCCCCTCGCGATTGGCTTCTATGGCACCTAGAAACACAAAATTTGATAGGTAGGTGGGCCCCCTGAAGTTCTCGCCTCAGTGCAAATTTGGTTGCTCTAGGTCAATATTTAAGGGGGTTTTGGGGGGTATAAATGTAAAAATTTCACTAAAAACAGGTCAAAAGTTTTTCGCTCATAACCTTTGATTTAATTAAGATAGAGCAAGAAAAGGCACCAGTGAACTCAGCACGTCAAGGCACGTCGAATGATATACTTTTTAGCTTGCTCAAGTGTACTTAAAGTTTTTCTTAATTATTAAGTAAACTTTCATTAATTAGTTAAGTTCAAGTTTACCAAATTGCATCATATCGCATATCATTCGATTCGGCTGATCACCAGGAACACAATGACACCATTTTTTAGCTCTAGCGTCATTATGTCCCAAGTTATTGGCAAAAACGTCATTTGACCTCAGTTGACCTCATTTGACCTGACCTATGGATAAGTACACAAAACAAAGAAGCATTAAGTGACCTGCTGTTACGTACTGTGGTTTCAAAGCACAAAAGTGATGGAACGAAGCGGATATCTCCAGTATATTTTCCTAATTTAGTATTGTCCCCCAGGCTTAATCCGCGACCTGGTGGGGGGCTATTTTTGCCCCTCTCCAGACTTTTCGATATATCTCCAGAACCGCTGCGCTGATCGTCACCAAACTTTCAGTACCCTCCCGGACATCAATTGTACACATTGTGACCAAAAATTCGTCCAAAGGCTATGATAGGTTGGCCAGAAATGACGTCAGAGTGACGTCATGTTCTGCCGTTTTCGACCCAAAAAAAGGGTTTCACGGGAAGAGCTGTCAGGCCTATAGCTTTGCAAATACAGAAAAATGATAAAGACATAAAAGCTGTAGAATTGACAGGGCTACAAAACTATTATCTCGGATCTTTGGAATTGTTTTGTTTTGACCCCAAAAATCAAAAAATATTTTTTTTATATATAATAATAATAAAAAAAATCCAAAAAGTTTTTCGAATTTCGCAAAAAACGGAATATATGTGATAGTCTTTCATTTTATGCAAAACTATCAACTTTAAAATTTGACCTTTTTTGGACTGACCTTGACCTGACCTTGACCTGAACTTCACCAGAAAGTGACCTAAGCCGTACCTGATAGTCTTATAACCAGCACCATTGTGTTGGAAATGAAAAATTGGCCATAAAACATGCATCACACAACCTTAGTAAAGTTGGGCTCATGTGACCTGACCTGTGAAGTGTGACCCTTGGTGACCTGACCTGTGACCTGACCTGGTATTGTCAGTGACCTCTAATAGCAACATATCTACTAGGCAACTGACGCCCTATCGCTGATTCTCGATAAAATGCGTTTTCCTCGGTGTTATAGCGCATTCCCTAGAAGACCCGTGAACGGTGAAATATTTCATCTTTGACCTGACCTGTGACGTCATCGGTGACCCCGAGGTCAATGAAATTTGGTTACTTGGAACAAATTTGACAGGCCTTTCAAACGCCGTTTGAATTTTGCGGATCCGTCCAGTAGTTTCGGAGATACGAGGGGGGGGCAAAAAATAGCCCCCCCACCAGGTCGCGGGTTAACATTACGACGTAATGACCTCTAACTGACCTCAGGTCAATGACCTCAAAAAACCCGAACTATATGTTATACAACTCGGTGAACTTAGCACACCCTGAAAGTTTGAAGGAAATCAGTCCAAAACTGTGAGTTGCACAGGTGTAAAAAGAAAATTGAAATTTGACCATGACCTTGTACCGGTTTTTCTGACCTGGTGACCTGACCCAAGGTCACCGGACCTGAAATTTTCAGGTAATATGTAAAAAGATTTCCCCATAGGCTGTGTCAAATTTGGCGGCGCTGCGCGCCTCCGTTTTTACGCTATCTTCGAAAAACCTTAGGGGGGTCACATCGACCCCCCTGCCAGGGCGAGGGTTAACCCGTGCCCAGAGGGGGACATTTTACACCTTACCTTGTGTTTTTTCTTGATTAGAAAGAAAACGGCGGCGTCACAGCGCCACCAAATTTTCAAAACCTTCCAGAGCATCAATTTGACACCTTCACACAAAATTTCAAAACAAGGGTCACCCTAAGGTCAGGAGTTATGGAGGTCAATCTGAGGTCATGTGCGAGCAAAAATGAGCAACAAACATGACATCTCGAAACGCTCACAAAATCTTGTTAACAAGCACTTTCCATGAGTCCTTTATGTGGTCGTGTAGAGAAAAGACGGCGCTATAAAACTGCAAGCTTCAAAATTTTCAAAAACTTTGGGATTTTTACCCAAAAAATAAAAACGTTTTTTTTAGAAAACAAAACAACTTAATCCCAAAATAAATCGAATTTCGAAATAATCGGAATATATATGATATTACCTGCGCCCTTCTATCTAAATACCAAATTTTTGATCGATACCTCCTTTTTTGGCGCCGAGTTATAGCGAAAAAAAAACTGTTCAAAATTGATAAAGTCAATTTTTTACTCAATTTTTAGCAATTCTAGACCACGTAGCGCAAAAGTTTTCATATCTCAAAAACTACACATCGGAGCGACTAACAGCAAACAGTGTTTGATAGATCGTTTAACCCGCGAGTTGCTGGGGGGGCGTTAAACGCCCCCACTTTTTTCGCCGGGCCATAGCATAAAAACGGCGCGCCACAGGCGCGCCAAATTTTAGGTACCTGTAGGGAATTGATTGAAGTGTATTGTGACAAAGCTTTTAAAAAATCGGTCGGAAAATTTTTGAGATATCGAGGTTTAAGTGACGTCATGATTTCTGAGTTTTCGGCCAAAAACGGCATATGTTCAAAAAATCATATAAAATCACGGAATAGACATACAGACAAGCCGTAAACGCCATTAGACTGCCAATACCATGAACAATCAAATGGCTATCTTCGATTATTGATTACCGTTCCGCAGTTTCAAAAATCTTGAACTGAATCTTGGCAATTTCTCGTGACTACTTCACGACCATGATACATGCATTTCTTAAATTGAACTTTTTAAGCCAAACACGTACACATATGATAAAATAAATGTCACCATCGTGTTCTACGCTCCAAATTACCCATAAAACACGTGTCACAGGCTGCGAATATCAGTTTTGATTTTCGGGGATATGTGCCTACCCGGTTGACCTGACCTTGACCCTGGCCTATGCTTGACTGACCCCTACATGGAGCTGACACTCTTGTAGACCTTATATGATGGATTGTGCACCGTTTTGACAGAGTTTATGACGAGAGACGCCCATTGCGAAGTCCTGAAGTCCATGCTACTGAAAGCCCGATTTCAGGTGTTTGACCTGACCTTGACCCGACCTGTGACCTCAAAATTCAACTTTAAAGTACTCATCTGAAGCGTCTCGTCGCGTTCTTTCGTTTGCCGCCTCGTGCGTTTCGCTGCGCCTATTGGTTCTCGAGTTATCGGCTGGGGGCGTTTAACGCCCCCCCCCCCCCCAGCAAACGGTGGGTGGCGAAATACCCCAGCAACTGCCGGGTTAACCCTATTCTCGGCGGGGGCCTTTAAGGCCCCCCTTCAGGTTTTTCTTGTGCCATTGCCAAACGCCGCAGGACTGAAAGCTCATACTCGGTGACTTTTTCTAAACATTCATTGCGCACATTTTGACAAAAAAAAGTTGCCGGGTCAGGTCAGGTCAGGTCACCAGAGGCGGTTTGGTGACCCCACCTCAGAAAAGTTTGCAATCACGCCAGAGCTAGAGTTTTTGACCGATCAATTTCTTCTCTTCAGGTTTTAGTTAGGGTACTAGTATGCGCAATTTGTATCTCTCAGAATTTTCATATCTGTGACCTGAGGTCAGGCCGAGGCCAGACTCGTGACCTTTATTTACATTGCAAGCCTATGGGAAAATATTGAAACGACTCCTGCTTCGTGTAAACGAGTCAAAACCACCCAATTCTTTCAGTATTATGGAAGATTATCTCATCGGTGATGATCCTGGTGCCGCTAATTGACAGGGGCACCGGCAAAGGTCATCTGAGGTCATGTGACGTCATAAATCGTTTTTCTGTCAATAAATCACGACATGATGGTGCTTAAGACTTGTAAGTGGTACCAAACTACTCGCCTGGTCAAGGCGCGTCGTTTGGTATGCAGCATAACCATACCCCACAACCTCATTGATGAATGACCTGACCTTGACCTCAGGTCAAATTTCAGATTGACCTGTGAAGGCCATCACATACTTATTTCGCATCGCCTCGACGAGAGCAACAAAAAATGCATTGGTTTTATGTCTCTATGTTTCTTAGTTTAACCCGCAACCGCCTGGGGGTCGGATCCGACCCCCCCCCCCCCCCTCCGTTTTTCTTGAATAACTCAAGAACCGCTTACGTTATCAACTTGAAACTTCGCATACCTTCTCCCTCATTAATTTGACGTTTCCTGTGTAATTTGTAAGAAAAAATTTCCAAAAGCTTTTGAGATATATCGATTTTAGTGATGTGACTACATGGCGTTTTTAG